ATTTCTCGCGGACCACACTAGAGGGTTCAGAGACTGTGGCTTCCTAAACCTGCAACACCTGACTTTCTAAGCCTAAGGCATCCCGGAACCTACTCGAAACCCACCCGAGCCCTCGAAACTCCAACCCAAGTATACACACAACCTCAAAAACATCCTACGGACATATTCGTGTAATCAAATTACCAAAATAACATCACGAGCATCGAGTTAAACCTCGAGATCACTGAAATTTCTCAAAACTCTTTTAAACATCAAATTTCTCAATTAAGGTCCAGATCGCGTCAAGCGACGTCCGTTTTTAACCAAATTTCACAAGAATGACTCAAGTCATCTATAAGACCTGTACCGGGCGCCGAAACCAAAATACGGGCCTGATGCCATTGCTTTCTAATCAGTTTTCATTTCAAATTTCCTTAATCAATTTCTGAAAATAATTTCACTTAAAAATTCATTTCTCGGGCTTAGGACCTCGGAATTCGATTCCGGGCATACACCTAAGTCCCATATTTTCCTACGGACCCTCCGGGACCGTTTACCCAAAATTTTGACCGAAGTCAAGATTATTCCTTTTAACATCAAAACTTAGCATTTTTTTAACAGAGTTTCATATTTAAGCTTTCCGGGTATGTGCCCGGACTGCGCACGCAATTCGAGGCGACTCTAATGAGGTTTTCAAGGCCTCAGATATACAGAAATCAACTGAAAGCAAGTGATGACCCTTTGGGTCGTCACACTTACCTGATGACATATATGGCCAAGTTGATGACTGTTAGAGATGAAAAGTTCTGGAAAGTATTACCAGAACATGCTATGGAACCTCCACCACTTGCCAAAACTGTTGGAAGGCCAAAAATCAAAAGAAATTTGGAGAAGGATGATGCTAACAAGAGACAAGGAGAGTGGGCTGCATCAAGAAGGGGAACTAGAATGACATGCAACATTTGTGGTGAACTGGACCACAATACAAGGACATGCAAGGTACTTGCTTTTTAACTTATATTTCTTCTTATATAATTGCAGTTATTTAATAGAAAGTATTTCTTTTTAATTATAGGTTAGTGCTGAAGGAAATGTTGAGGATGTTAGTTGTTCAGCCCCTCAACCAAAACAAGAAGGTGAACATGAAAGTGAATTTGTGTTCATGCCTACACCTACAGTACCAAGACACCAAACAGAACCCTTTAGTGATGGTAGTGAGTATGAAAGTGACCCTACTTTAATGCCTAAGATTATTTTTGAAGATCAAATAAGACTGTTGATGAGGTAGAAACAATTGATGTCAGCTGGGACAAGAGTGATCTCTTTCAGAGGAGATCATACTAGTGTTAGTTATCCCACTGATCTTCCTTACTCACCTACTAAACTCACTTGGAAAGGTGAAGAAGTAGTGACTGGAAATCAATTGGAAGTGGCAAGACAATAGAAAATTGGGAAGTTGAAGAGCAAGAAACTCAATGGGAACTCATAAATCTAGGAATCTTGGTTATTGTATGTAGTTGCAAATCAAGACTTGTTTAATGTGAGTGTTAGTTACTACAAACTCTATAATAGTAGTAAACATGTTTTGGTTTTAGTAGCTGTAAAACTAATATTACAGCAGTTTATTTTATGTCCAACAGTTCTGACAGCAATTTTAGTAGTTGTAAAACTAATATTGCATCAGTTTAGTTTGCACAACAATGGTGTTTAATGTGCGGTGATGTTTGCACAATAGTTAGTTTGCCAGCAGTTTAGTTTGCCAGCAGTTTAATATGCAATGGTGTTCACACAACAGTTTAGTTTGTCCGCAATTTAGTTTGCTCAACAGTTCTGATGCTACTGATTCTATCTAAAAGTTGTGCTCGTTCTGTATTGTGCACAACAGTTTAGTTTGCACAACTATGGTTGTTTAATAGGTAGTGGTGTTTATTTTAGTATGTATTGTGATCTTTGGTGTACCCAACAGCAATTATATACAGCAGTTTAGTTTCCACAACAATTTACATTACAATTTAGTTTGCTGGGCAGTTTAGTTGAACTGTTGTGATAAGTTGAACTTCACATGATATAGTCATTGCATACAACAGTTTCACATCCAATAGGGAGCACACAGTTAAATTTTATCAAATAAGGAGCACCAGACAAGCAAATCACTACTCTTATCTGGAAAGTCGTCAAATAAATCCCTCCTCAATCACCAACTCGGTAGACAAGTAAATCACTACTCTCAGTTCAATTTTGCGATATCATGGTGTAAAAATATTTTCAAAACCAAATGTAGATAAAGATGTAGATTAAAAAAATATGCATAACAAACCAGATAAAACCAACAGACATTTACTTCATCATCCTTATAACTAAACCAAAATACTACAACATACTAAACCAACATATATTCACTTCATAATCCCTATAACTAAACCAAAATACTACAACAACATATTAAAGCAACATACATTCACTTCATCATCCCTACGACAACCAAAGCAAATAACAAAGCCCATGAAATCAAAATGATTGTTCTCATCTTCTTCACTTTGACCTCTAAATTACTAGCTTTTTCAGCTTCCACAAGTTGAAATTTCTCCATTTCGTCAAGTTTCATCTTCAAATTATGCCTTTCAACCGTGATAACATCTTTCATTTCATCAAACAAGTTCTTAGAGTTGTCTCTTTCGGCTTTAATAGCATCCTCTAATTCCTCAACTTTCATCTTCATAGGGCCCCTTTGAACAATCGTAGCTTGTTCCATGTCATAAACTTTATTCCTCAAATTGTTCCTCTCAACCTTAGCAGCATCAAGTTTAGTTTTTAAATCTTGCATCATCATCATCGCTCGACGAGGGAGCTCTTCGTCAATCCATTCAAAAAACCCGCAACAACTAACCTACATCATATTAGAATTTTCAATGAAAATAGTAGTCATTTTTTGTACATAAACAGTAAAAATCAAGAACCATCTCAAATAAAAACTCTGCAAATCATGACCTAACTCGACAAAAGAAGATGAATCAAATAAATCGACCAAAAATGAAACAAATTCAAAACTAACCTTGGATCTTGGGCATTTGTAGAACCTTCTCCCAGTATTGGCGTCTGACCAAGCTGTCAAATATAGTGCAATCAATCCGCAACGACACCTTCTTGCATATTGAATTTCATGCGCATTCACAGATAAATCAGACATTGAGCAGAAATTTTAAAGAGAAAATAGAGATTTTTAAAATTGGGAAACAATGACAATTAGGGTTTTGGGAATGGGTGACTGTCGGTATAAGACGAGGGAAAATAAGAAGAGAGATCCGCTTATGTGGATGCCATGTCAGTTAATTAATGCCAATGAGAAGGCTTATGTGTTTAGCTGTTAGATTGACGGCATTATTGGCCTAGTTTGCTAACGTAGGGGATTTCCGATTTACTAATGGAGGACAAAATTGAGCTATATCCAATAATTAGAATATTATTGGACCTTTTCCGTAAAAACAAAGAAGTGAATTCTGCAGTCCGTCAGAAATCAAACAAGAGTTGTTGAACCAACCTCAAGTTATTTGGTTAAATTCGAAACATTGAAGCAATTCTACCGTCCGTAAGAAAACAACCAAAAGCCTTAAGTTGTTTAGTTCAAAGAACCCAAAAATATTTAAACGTCCTCAAGTTGTTTAGTTAATATTGTTTAAAGATATGTTTAAGCATCTGTTAGTTGTTTGGAGGTAGTAGGAGAAGGAGCTGAGGAGCCGACAACGACAAAGGAAGCAACATGTAATGAATTTCAAGGAATTCAATAAAATTCAAACAACATAACTATATTTTAGCAACTCTGAAATCGAAATTACCAATTAGAAATTCAACAAATTTCCAAACAATGCCTTAACTATTGAAATCTATCTACTGAATTCAGTAATTCGATAATGTCATTTCAGAAAAAACATCTACTAATCCAGCAAGAGAGATTCAATTCTAACACTGCGACCCAATCGAATACTTCAAGAGAACATACCTGAAATAGAGATCAATTTGCAGCTCTCAGTGAAAGTAGTAAGAAGAGCTAAATAGTGACTTCAATTAGGGAAGAAAAGGAAAAAAATATCTGAGAAAGAAAGGAGAGGAAGGATTCAAATTGAGATATATAGAGAGAAAGAGTGGAGCGCATGAGAGAGGAGTGAACATATCATTTCCCTCCTATTTCCCTCAAATTAGATTTTAGTTATATAATCCTTCTTTAAATGAACCTGAGCCATCCGATAGAAATAATCAGGACCCTCCGTGTCACCCAACTACCATTTTGAATAATTCCCATTTTTTGTTAATTCTTTCACTTAATTAATAGCTAAACAACATTGTCCTTTCCTTAATGAACTCATGTTCAGTTTATTACAATCCACCCCCCTTCAATACATTCTTGTCCTCAAGAATGTTAATGGAGCTGCTGTATAAACTCTAGAAATTATGCTTTGATGAAAGATCAATCTTCCTAGGTGGCCTCTTCTGGTTCAAGGTTTTCCTATTGTATCAAGACTTTGATGGCGACTGCATTATTTTCTTTTATCATCTTCCTTTGTAATATTACTACAGGATTGACACGCATCTGTCTATCTTCACCAAGTAAGCGTAGATGTTGTTTGAGAGTTACTGTTCGTCATATCCTCTTCTTTAATAAGGGCACATAAAATACATGATGTACCAAGGTAGTGCTAGGTAGCTTCGTCATATCCTCCTAAGGACAAGGGATGTCTGCCTGTAGGGCTGTATCTTCAGGTATACCCAATCTCCTATATTTAACTGTCTCTCAATTCTGCTCTAATATGCATACCTCTTCATTCTTTCTTATGCTTGGATGAGGTGGTCTCTAAATACCTATTGGAATTGGATCCTTTGTTGTATTAGGTCATGCATAGCCTGCACTACATTTTGTAACATTGGCCCAGGGAAGCTGTGGTGGATGATAACCGTCGAAAGCATGAAAATGGGTGCTTTGCAAAGAGGTATGTTAGTTAGTACCATACCACCACTTAGCCAAATATAACCAGTTTGCCCATTATTTAGGTTTGCTCATTGCTATAGCTCTGAGATATCCTTCTAGGCACCTGTTCGACCTCCTAGTTTATCCATCTATTTCTGGATGATAGACCTCATGCAAAGTGTAGTTCCAACAGCTTTGAATATGAGCTACCAGTAAGCACTAGTGAAAATCTTATCTCGATCAGAGGACATAGTGTTTGGGAACACCCATGGAGCTTGTAAACCTCTTTGATGAATAAATCTGCTAGCTGCACAGCTGTGAAAGGGTGTTGTAGGGTTAAAAAATGCAATTAGTTAGTAGTCCTGAATTATCCATAGTTTCATCCGTATACCTTTGGCAGATGTCATAAGTTAGACACAAATTCTTGCATATCCTTCTTCATCGCAGGCCAGAAAAAGTGTAGGTGCAGTCTTTTTAAGGCTCCTTGTTAGCTCAATGTCCTCTTCTTACTGAAGAATATATAGTATGTAGGATTTGCCGTCTAAGTGTTGTAGTTTCCCAACATAGACCTTACCCTTGAACCTCAGTATTCCTAAATAAATGTTGTAATCAGGTTATTCATACTAACAAAGCAGTGATGAGGTAATGTGCTTGGGTGTCATCCTCACAACTCTTCTCTATCTCTCTCATCCATGTAGGTTGTACACTAGTAATGACATTTACTTCTCCATACTCTTCTGGAACCCTGGAGAGTGCATCTGCAACTCTATTCTCAAACCCCTTCCTGTACTGAATCTCATAGTCAATCCCAATGGTTTTGTAATGTCACACCCCATGATTTTGTACATGAAAGTATGACGTAAGTCAACTGATGTAAGCTCGGAAATGAAATCTTCTTTGAAAGTATATAAAGTGATTTAATGTTATTACACCCCGCACTTCATACGTCACTGTCATTATAAGATTATCTAATGTAAACTCAAAAAGGATGAAATCCTTCTACAAGAATAAAAAAGGTTTACTGAAGTCTTAAGCAAGTTAAGATGAATATGAGACTTGTTAATCATGATTTAAATGAGTTTAAAGTCAATATATGACTATATATGATGTTTGGATATGAAATATAAAGTTTGGGAAAATCGGATTTAAGTTGCGGAAAAACCGACTAAGGATTTGCCTTGTAATGAAGCATTTTGAGCAATATATTTTATGTGTCATATGAGGTTGTTTTGGGACATATTATATACCAAAATGAAGGTCTTTGAACCTAGTTTCCAACGGTCCAAACCATTTATTCATACGACATTGGGTAGAGAAATATGAATTTATATAGTAGGGTCGCCAAGTCACATCGCTGTTCTTCGGAGAAACAGGCAGTTTTATAGGCCAGTTGCGATGCAGTTTTCTCCCAATCTATTGAGAGTTACATGGAGATATTTATATGGAATTAAATCTCTATGTGTCTAGTTTTCAACGCAGTAAACCGTTTGTCAATACGATATCAGATTAGAGAGATACACACGTCCGAAGTTGCACCGCTCAAGCTGCCAAGCAGGAAGCTTACCCACCTACTTGGAGAATTGAGGCGGTGGGCTTATAAGTTATCTTCTCCCTTGTATATCTCGTCATTATACACAAAAAACATACACCAAAATACTCTCAATTCTCTCTAAGAGTTGGTTCAAGATCCTAAGAACCAAACTAAAGGGAAATCAACTCAAATCATCATCAAAGGTGTTAAAGACTACAAGAGAATGCTTCAATGATATTGTGGTGTGATTGAGGGCTATTGTGAGCTTGAGATAGGGTTTCGAGTTGAAGATGTTGTCCAAGGTATGCATAACATCTTCTTGATTGTGCCTAAGACTAATCTTGTGTTGGTTGTGTTGTTTGAGTGAAAAAACATAAGATAGTACTTGAAAGAACATGAGATATGGTTGTCTCTTTGGTTGGGCTGTTTTGTGGCTAAATATATGGTTTGTGGTGGTTAGAAATTGTGAGAAATAATTTGATAATGTTGTGGCTACTGTTGTTAAGCTTTTCTAGGTTTTAATTAAGTTAATTGAAGAAGAAAAAATGAAAAACAAGTGGCTGACGATAAAAAATAAGATACTAGATGTATGAGGCTGTTTTGGAAGGCATTTTGTGGATGTTTTAAACTAGAAATAATATGGTACATATAAGCATGATGTTCTGAAGGTTGTAAACTAATTTATGAAATAAGAGTTGGATTCAATTCATATCTTGTTATGAGTAAAAACGAGCTTGTCGCTCAATATGATTGTTAAGATAATCAGAGAAACTCATATTGGATTGCATTGTTGTTGTTGTTGTTATTATTGGTTATAGTTGTTATTGTTGGGCTGTTGATGACCCTTAGTGGTATTTGGGATGTATTAAAAATAGGGGAGGTTCTGATCGGTTTTTCTTAAGCCATACGACTAGCCAAATACAATGGTACGACATTATATGTTAACGACAATATCATTTCACTTGTTGAAGATGCAAGGCATTGTGTCGAGCTTGGTTGAGTAATAAGGAAGATGTCATTCAGGTATATTAAGGCTATCCCTTATTTCTTTTGGCATGATCCATACGATGCAAATGAAACGTGCAAATGCACAACTTCCATAAATGACTCTATTCATAGAAATGCTAGAGATGCTTATGTTTTTTATTCTCCATGTGTCATATTATTCTATCATCTGTTCATGGGTCTAAGAAAAATAAGTAAGTTGAAAGATTTCATTTCATGATATTACTCGAAGGCATAATGGTCTTATGACATTCCAAGAGATTTTATTGACGTACTTCTCATGCATTGCATTCATGTACATTGACCCATGACCAGATGGCGTTATATACGCGTATATATGTATATATATGTATATGGGATATGGAAAAAGTTTATGACGTTATATACGCACCACCACCTAATCAGCTGGTATACGTTGATGATTTGCCCACAATGGTCGAGATGATATGATGAGATGCCCTCATAGGCTTGATGATGTTATGAACACATATACCCACGCATGGTTTGACATTTATACGCATATGCACGATATTATAATATTAAATGATTCACAGAGTTATTCAGATATACATGTTGAGTGTTTTACTCTATGTTTCTCTCATGTCTACTAGTTACTGATTTTTATTCCTTACATACTCGGTACATTATTTGTACTGACGTTCCTTTTACCTGGGGACACTGCGTTTCATGCCCGCAGGTCCCGATAGACAGGTCGAGAGTCCTCCAACTACGTTATCAGCTCAACGGAAGGTGGTTGTGCGTACCATTTGCTCCGGAGTTGCTTCTTTGGTCAGTATGATTAGTACATGTATAGATTGGTATGGCGGGACCCTATCCCGATCTTTATGATATTATTTATTCTTAGAGGCTTGTAGACAAATGTCATGTATATAGATACTTGTATGACCTTGTCGGCCTATGTTTCGAGTATATAAAGAATCATGTTGGCCTTATAGGCCTGTACTTCATATGTATAAGTTTGTATTCCCTCATGCTTTACTCCTGTTCATTTACCTATGATAAAATGATATGAAAGATACGTTATATTGGTACTCGGTTGAGTAAGGTACCGGGTGCCCGTCACGAACCATCGGTTTGGGTCATGACAAAAGTGGTATCAGAGCAGTTCTGTCCTAGGAATCTACAAGCCGTGTCTAGTAGAGGCTTGTTTATGGGTGTGCTATGCACCACACTTATAAGTAGGAGGCTAAAAGGCATTTAGGACTGTCACTCATTCTTCTTACTCTAGATCGTGTGGTAGAGCTCAGTTGTAAGAATTCAAACTCCTAATTTCTATTTTATTCGTAATACAACGATATATACATTTAGAAAGAGAGTTGGTAAGAGATTGAAGGTGGCTGCGGAAGAGTTGAGTCAGAGGAACTCGATTTTGCATCATGCTTATGATGAGTAAATGTGAGGTCTTCAGCAGATCATGTGTGTACTAAGATGTCTAATCTTGTTAATAATAAACGTTAAGGCAAGAATATCTATCCGCTCGTATGGTAAAAAGGAATAAAAGAATTGGAAGATAGACACAAGTTTCAGTAAGTAAAAGAAGCAAGGTGAAGAAGGGTACGAGGTACCTAGTTAATGAAGATTAACAATATTTACAATTCTAGCAGAGAAATATAAGCATTCTGATAGTAACGGAGATATATAC